TATATTCTATGGTCCCATTTCATGCAGGTTGTATGATGCTATGGATAGATTTGATGTTCATATAAGTATTTATATATTTACTGACAGATAGACTTTATTCTTCTCCATCTATCCACCCTATACGGACTGCACAGATGCTTGCATCCTGACGTGAGTGCACACAGCGCTGATGTGGGAGCCATCACTCAGGACATTTTAATCCAGGCTTCTACTGACCACCTTCTGACTCAGACTATGACTATTGCTAATTGTGACTATAGTGAGTACATACAAGAAGAAAAGTCATCTAACATGTACTTATAGGCTTTCAAACACTATTAGGGCCCAGCAAGTGTAGCCTCTAGAACAGCACTACTGGTTTTAGTGTCACACATACAGACAAATTACAATTACACATTTTCTTACGTAGTTACAGCCCATTGGATTATTACATTAAAATGTGCCCACAACCAACAAACCAAGGTCTATAAACTGTACACATGCCTTCAATGTAATCCTGTAGTACCTTTTAGCACTGTCACATTTCACAGGCTGACTATATAAAGGGTGCAGTCAACATCACATTCAAAGTTACAAATCATCAAATCAAATGTATGTTGCGCTCATTTAGAGATGCACCATTGTGAATAAAAATAGATTCAAAATCCTCATAAAAGGACTCAATGTTGGTGGTTAAAATGCTAAAAGTCTAAAGGCAGGATAACAGCCAACAGCAGCTCCTCCTTTTCCTTTTGCTCCTGTTAGAAGAGTTTGTGCTGGCCTGTGCCTGGCCTGTGCCTGGCCTGTGCCTGACCCTCTACTTTCCTGAACATTTATTTTCTCTCCACATTTTGGATGTGTGGCTCTGCAGTACAAAGTGCATGTGGGCTTGGCATTCAGGAGTCCATTGTATTGTACTGTATGTGTTTGTGATCTTTTATTAGCATTAACTCCAGTTGGCAGTGAGTTCAGGGGACAAGTGGTTTTAGCCACAAACACGTCTCTTATGCTGTCTGCTAGTCCCCAAAATGTTCTCCCTTGTTTATCGTTATATAGTACTGGCCAATGCGGTAGCAAACTGACCTGGTCTCAGTCAGGCCTGTCCCCTCTGTGGTCACCAGCATGTCCGAGGAATGTGACTTCTGACAGCAACAACTGACACGTGTGTGTAGTTTGAATCCATGTTCGCAGAGCTGGTGGAGGACCTCTTATAAGTGCTGTAAATGAGAGGAACTATCAGAGAATAGTTAATGAGGCTATCTAAAATAACAAACAGTGATTTGACCAGCTAAAGCTGCTCTATGAACAAACCAAAGGCTCAGATTGGCCTGCCTTCTGAGAGGAACCTGTCAGAACAACTCAGGCACCTGTTCTCCAAGCACAGTATTAGTGCATCAGTGATTTGAAAGAGGGGTGCCTTTTTTGGTGGTGTCACTAAAACATCACCATCCACCACTACACCTAGAGGAAGTCACAGTCACCAACACAAGCCCTGATGGTGCTACCTGGTGTTTGTGGCACCCTTCTCTGTTTTGTGTTTGTTTGCAGGAACAGGAGAGTAGCTGGGAGCCAAAGACCACCTCCCAGTTAAGTCTGACATATCCTTAGTATAGTAGCATGTAAATAGTGTGTCAAACTAAAAAAAATAAAAGCTAGATAAATTTAGTGTGATGTTTGTAAATAGAAAACAACACCAAAAACCCACACACATACACACACAAAACCCCCAAATACTCAAAAATAAATAAGTACTTTTTTTTTTTAAGTATTAAGTTTAATGTGGTGTGGTGTTGTTATTATGTTGTTATTATTGTTGTTATTATTATGTTGTAAATAGTGTGTCAAACTAGAAATACCCCCAAAACCAGAACTAATACAGCACTAATCCTGAACTAAACCTGGCCTAAACCAGGACTAAACTAGGCCTAAACTAGAACTAAACGAGGACTAACCCAGGACTAAACCTGGACTCCTAACCTCTATGAAAAAGTCAGGCTCCATGTTGGCTGCTGAGGTGCTCAGATGGAAGAAACCAAGAGAGGCCCTGTCCATCAACTTGCAAGAACTGTTCCCTCATGTTGTCTGTATCCCGAAGCCAAAGCAACGGGAGGTTATTATCAGCATTCACAAGTGTCCATCATTGACTAAGCTGTGCATTGGGAGGTTTTAGGTGGTTTTAGCACACAGGCTATCAATTAACCACAATTTGATTCCATGAGCACAAACAACAGCCAGACTATAAAAACAGCAGTAAAAACTATGTCCAAGTTTGCACACAAAGAAGATTCTCAAATAATACTTTAAGACATTTTCATCCAATCTGACCTGATCAATCCTAATGTCTTCTCAATTGAGGAGGATAGGGACCAGGGACAAATAAATACATATGACCTTTGACCCCACTGAGGTCACAGTCAGGTGCAAAATAAACTTAAAATGTGGGAGGGGCTAGAGCACATCTATATGCCCAGAAAGTTACAAAACAGAGATAGGTACAACAGTGGAATGGCACACCAGCCTCAGTGCAAGTAGGTCCTAGAGCCATTGGACCAATCACAGGGCAGCATTGTGGTTTGTGGAAAAAGCCACAAGACTAAAACAAAACAATAGACTATGGTGGTATAGGTAAGAGCTGTGCCAGACTGATCATGTGCCAGTGAAACTTTCTTGGTCAAATAAAGTCATTTAAACACCTACAATTTGAAAGTTAAGTAGTTCATTTTACAGTGAGCCTACATTCTGACCTGTTTCCACCTTTCACATCTTCACAACATTTGACATCATGAATGAAGTCAATCTATAATTTTATCTCATCAGTACTCAATCAATATTAATCAAGTGTTTGTTTAATATTTTTCTATTACTTGATTTGTTAAGATAGTACTTGTGGCAAATATTTAACATAGCCTAAATTTAAATCAGTTAAGTGGCAGTTTGTGGAAAAATATTTTAATAATTAAAAAAATAGAGAGAGAGAAGAAGTAGAGGTGAGTTCTAAAGCTCTGTTTAGCTATGTTGGGCTGGTGCTCAGCAGGCCGCACCTGAGTGGACAGACAGCTGTTAAGCCCAGAGCACCTATAGTAGCACCAATGGGACCAGCCATATGAGCATCACACTGAATGTACCTATGGAGCCAGATTCTTCACTGTTGTCCTACACAAAACTTTCTTATGCAGTAGGCTGTCTGTTACAACCATAGACTGTATAAAGAACTAATTAAAGAACCACAAAGTAGTTATTCATATGGCTACTCAAATCAAATAAATATCAAATAAAGGCCATGTTCAGATTGACAGGATATCGTGGAGAACAGAACGAACACGTAACGACGAAGTAAAAAAAAAGAAAGTACAGTAAAACATTGCCTTTGTTTTGGGAAATCTACCATGTACTCGCCGTAGTAAAGAAGCCCCTCCTTCTTTACGTAGTGGTGACGTTCATCCAATCAGATCTCTTCGCGCGGAATTTTGAAAATTTTCAAATCACCATTCACAAATGTGTGGAGTATACATCCGCCAAAAGTGTAAACAAAATAGTCCGTTTGCGGCCATATAGTTAAACAATGGCCTCGAGAAGCAAAAATGAGCCATTATATGTAAATAAAGGGACGGATTTACACGCGAGCTTTTTGATTTTTAATACAACCGGTTTATTTAGAAAGTTCGGTGCATGTTGTAATTCTGGCGGAGTGATATCATCCTAGCTTCCAGGAAGAGGACACGGTCAAGCGGAGTTGAGAAATTATATATTTTTCGTTTACCGTTCGTCGGGCTGCATCGTGTGCCATGGAACAATAGTGGTTTTGGATATGTTTTAGCTGTAAAACACGTTTAACACACGCGGGATTATTTTATGGCTCACCAGAGGTTTTAGAACGGTTTTACAGGTAAGCATCGGTCGCAATGAAGTTACTTTACCTATTCCCAAGCAAGTACAGGATTCATCTGTTGCCATGTGTCTTCGTTTGTTTCAACATGTTTGATGCCAGAAATAGAATTAACTATATGCTCCCGTGAATGGCAATACTTTCTACGTGTTTTCATGAGACATCTAGAAACAGCATTAATTTGTATGTAACGATATTGCGTATTTTATGACTGTATTATTAGCGCTAACACATTAACTATTGTTCTTGAGTAAAGTTAGACGCTTTTTGGTGTTACCTTTTGGGTGTTTACTGTTGTTCAATGTTCAGATAACGGGATAAAGATGCCATTGCACGGGAAGATAGTTGTGTTGAAGAGGAGCGGGGGAGATGGGACAGAGTTCCCCCTGACTGCCTCCTGTATGTTTGGAAGGTAAGAGACAACACGCTTATTAATCTTTAAATAGAGGAAATGTTTCAACAGAAGAGCAAACTCTTTGCAGTATGACTTGTTATTAAAGACTGTTGTTACATTAAATGCTCATGTTTGTTTATCTTCTCTGCACAGGAAGCCTGATTGTGACATTCGCATTCAGCTTCCTCAAGTGTCGAAGGAACACTGCAGAATTGATCTCAATGAAAACAAAGAGGTAACATTTAACCAACATTTAATTAACTGTAATATTGGATTTTTAGGATTGGATTTTTTTTAAGGTCTTACCACAACAAATCTTTTTCCAAACCTAGGTAATTTTGACAAATCTCAGCTCAGTGAATCCAACACAAGTTAATGGTCAGGCTTTGCAGCAGTCAGAGCGTCTTAAACATGGAGATATAATAACTATCATTGATCGTTCTTTCAGGTTGGTCTTGACTTTCCTCAATTTATGACATTTTTGACATTCTTTCTGGGTGACAATAATAATTTGATAACTGCAGGTTTGAGTATCCTCCTCCACCAACGCCAAAAAAGAGATCATCTGTTGGAGGAAAAGTTGAGACGCCTGCAATTGGTCAGTCTGCAATAAATGACCTGAACAGTTATTTTGTCATTCTAGCAATGTGTTTTTGTGTGTTGTCTAAATATTATAAATATAACATTTTCATCAGACCCACATCTAAAAGATGGGGCCAATATTGACAATATTCAGCGGTCTCTGGAGAAGACACAGGAGTTGGAGTCCAAAGAGGATACCAGTCTGCTGGAAGGCAAAACGGCATCACCTTTCAGTGATTTGTATCAAATGATCAAACAGTCTCTTGATGTTAAGACACCCCGCAAGTCTTCTGTCAGTGTCCTGCAGACTCCTTCATCCAGGTTATGCACACCAAGACCACAGTCGGCTAGGAAAAGCAATCAAACACCTGTGGAAGAAAAAGGAACACCCCAAGAAGCTGACTTGATCATTCCAGTTAATGAGGCACATGCTGGAGATTCATCGCTGCCTGCAACTCCAAAGTCAGGCAAAAAGAGGCGCTCTGCTCAACTCGCTACAGAAAGAGCTACACCGGCTGTCCCTACCTCTCCTCGTCCTACTCCACAGAAGTTTACTGTGAGTGAAGCGCTTGAGCAAATATCACAAACTGCAAGGTCACCATCAGGAAGGAGGAGCAAAGAGACCACATCACCTGTATCCACAAATGAACAAGTTGGATCTCCTTCAAAAACCTGCAAGATGACCCCAAAAAGCTCAGAGAAGGGTAAATATTTAATTCATTCATAATATTTAAAACGGCTATCTCATGACTGTTTTTACTATACAATCATAATCCACAGAGAAGTCCAAAAAACGCAAGAATGAGGAGCTTGCTGCAGACCTGCCCTCACAACAGGTGAAGAGGAAGAGAGTCTCTTTTGGCACTCATCTGAGTCCAGAGCTATTTGACAAGCGCCTGCCCCCTGACTCTCCTCTGCGCAAAGGAGCCACCCCACGGAGGAGCCTGTCTCTTTATAAACCTAAACAGTCACTGCTCAGACGGGCTTCTGTGATTGGGTTGCTCAAGGTAAGACTTGTTTTTGCTTTTTTGCAAATACAAATATTCATAAATGTATGTTTTCCATTTTCCTTGTCATAAGGAGTATGAAAGCCCAAAAGCAAAAAGTCCTGCTAAAATGAAAACTCCTTCACCTAAGAAATCAAGTGCTTCTCCAAAAACACCAACTTCGGGGAAAAAATCACCAGCATCTCCCAAATCACCGGCCTCAAGAGCCCAGTCCCCAAAAACTAAAACCCCATCACCTGGAAGGAAATCTACCATCCTGACTGAAGCCTCCCCCAAAGCAAAGTCACCTACCCAGAAGGTTCAGACTCCAAAATCCTCCTCACCCAGAAAGACTCCCACCCCCAAGAAAGCCTCTCCTAAAACACCCAAATCACCCAAGGCAGTGTCACCCAAAGGTCAGACGCCAAAATCTAAATCTCCATCTCCTGGAAAGGGTGCTACTCCCAGGAAGGTTTCCCTTAAGACACCCTCACCAAAATCTGTCAAAACTACCCCTTCCAAGTTCACTGAAGAAACACCTAAGAGAAAGTCACCAGGCCTTGTGGTTAAAACACCTCTTCTGTCAGCAGATCAGACTCCAAAAGTGCAAGGGCGTTTTTCTGTGTCCCGTATCGACACACCATCTCCAATAGCTGAAGATGTTGTGGTGGAGTCTGTCCCTTCAGCCATGGTTACTCCTAAAATCCCACTGAGGAGGAAGAGCATGAAAAGCTCTGCAAAGAAAACTCCAACTCTGAAGAGTGCTGCTAAAGTGATGCGCAGAAAGAGTGGCATCATGAGAGCCTCTATGAAAGGTATATGGTGTGTTAAGTTAAACTTGGTCAGATTTGAATAATAAATACTGTATTGCAGCATAATATCCCTCATCCTAATATACATTGATATTGTGTATGCTTTGAATTATCTGCTAAATAATATTGACCCATAAGGGAAATTACTTGGACACAGTACCCCACACATCACATTACAATAACAAAAGAGTAAAAAATATAATGGTAATAATAAATTCTAAATAAGTAGCAATAAAATGAGACTGGTGTCAAATACAGCAAAATATATAAATGTGTATGTACAAGTAAAGTAAAATATAGTACTATAAATGCAGTATAATCAATAAATACCAGCACTGGCGTTGATGTAAAGTCTATAAATTATTCTTATACAATGTTTTTTTTTATGTGTATATATAAATATAGTGATGACATCCTGGGCAGACATTGTGAGATTTGGTAAAGCTAAAGTCCAAGTGGCTGTTCCAAGCAAATCACAAGTCACCAAAAAGACCAAGAAGAAGAAGGCTGTTCCCAAACCACAAGTAAAGTCCCCTACAGAGAATCCTTCCGAGGTAATGGTGTATCATAGTACAACATACTACATACTTTGTCTCTTCCTATTTTCCAGACCCCCAAGCGACGACTTGTGGACCATGTCAGCACAGGACATGCTGCTTCCCCTGCAACAATAGTCGTGGGAAGAGCTCACAGGCTGAGAGTTGCACATTCAGGTGCCCCACCAAAAATTGTCACCAACACAGCAGTGCTAAGAAAGAACCTTTTACAGGATGAAGATTTGACTGGTAAATTTGTGTTTAGATTTATAAAATGTGAAAGTAATTTTATTTTCTTACAAATGTTTTCATTTCTTTCAGGAATTTCTGATATGTTCAAAACCCCTAAAAATGAGAAGAGACAATCGACCAAAATCACGAGTGCAACAAGGACACCCTTGACAGATGTCAACAAGTCACAGATAGAGCCGTCTGTTTTGAATACGCCGGAGGAGACTGGTTAGTGCTGCTCTACTTGTGGCCTTTCATTAGTTTTTCTTTAAACCTAAACATATATATTTTCTATTGTAGGTGAAATGGTTGTATCACCAATGAGTGTTGCATCTACAGTTAAAGGTAGAAGATACAACAGTGAGGCAGTCCAGCGTCTCCTTGATGAAGTTCCTCTCATGGACATTCAGTGTGAATCCACTGAACATGGCATAGAAGTGAAAGTGAATACGCCAAGAACTCAGAAATCAAAACTGCAGGCGCAGGAAAGTCTGACTGGAGTGAAAAGGATGAAGACTCCAAAACAAAAGGTAGAACCTGTCGAAGACCTGAGAGGCAAACTTCTCAAGACTCCAAAAGAGAAGTTTGAGCAACAGGAGTGTCTGTCTGCAGTAAAACACATTATGAAGACTCCAAAAGACAAGATTGAGCCAGTTGAGGACCTGAGAGGAAAGCTATTGAAAACTCCTAAACAAAAGATTGAGCAGCAGGAAGACTGTCTCACTGGAGTAAAGCGAATCATGAAAACTCCTAAAGAGAAAGCCTTACCTGTTGAGGACCTGCAGGGAAAGCTGCTGAAAACTCCTAAACAGAAGCCTGAAATGCCAGACTGCCTCTCTACTGTCAAAATGATCATGAAGACTCCAGACCAGAAGGTGGAACAACCAGAGCGCATTAGTGGAGCCAAAGGACTTGCAAGAACCCCTAAACATACAACTGAGCAGCCAGAATGTCTGACTAGAGTGAAGAGGATCATGAAGACGCCAAAAGAAAAGTCTGAAGTGATCGATGACATCAGGGGCAAACTCCTACTGACTCCCAAACAGAAGGGTGAACAGCAAGTGTTTCTGACTGGAGTGAAAAGAATCATGAGGACACCCAAACAGAAGGTTGAACAGCAAGTGTTTCTGACTGGAGTGAAGAGAATCATGAGGACACCCAAAGAGAAGGGCCAACCAGTGGAGAAGAACTTTGGCCTTAAAAGGCTCCTGAGGTCACCGCGATTGAGGGGACATGCTCCAGTGGAAGACTTTGAGGGACTTGAAGAGCTAATGAAAGAACCAATTGAAGAGCAAACATCTGAAAATGCAGAAGGTAAATATCTTGCAGGCTGTCAAAATGAAGTTGGTAATGTATTTAATTTAATGTCTTATGTTTAGAAACTGTTGATGGTCAGCCAGAGACTTCTGAACAAGCAGTAGTTGATCAAACTAAATCTGACAAAGTAATTACTCCTAAAGGTGAGTATCCCCCCCCATTGATTTTTATATGTTGCTTGTGAATTCAAATCTTACTTTATTTTCTTCTGATTGTAGAAGTAGTTGTCGACCAACCAGAGAGTACCTCTATTTTCTCAGAAGATGTTAGTGAAACCTCAGCTGTGGAGTCTATACAAGGTTCTCTTGGGACAAAGCATATGCGTGGTAGAAGAGCAAAGGTCTCTAAGCCTAAAGTAGAGGACAAACAAGATCTCTCTGAAGAAACTGTTCAGGCACCAGTTAAAAGCAGACGATTGAGGAAAGTAGAGTGTACAGCCCCTAGACAGACAACACGAGGTAGGACTGCAAAGGTCTCTAAAGAGGAGGAGTCAGAGGAGCCTGTTCATGAGGAAAGTGTTCCTGAGTCCACAGTCAAGCCAGTAATACCCAAAACATCTGAAGAAAGTTCCCAGGAGCAAATTGAGGAAGTAAAAATTTCTCCCATTGAACCACTGCTAGAAATGGAGTGTGAACAGAATCTCCACACTGCTGTCCAGAAGGTAGAAATTCCTGCAGCATCAGAGCAGCCTGCTGTGAAACTAAGACGAGGCAGAAAGACCAAAGCTGCAAAACCTTGTGATGTCACTGTGACAGCAGCCAGCAATGCTACACCATCTGCTAAGGCTCCAGGTACTTTCATTTGTGGTACTCTATTGCTGCATGTTCGAACTGCTTCTGCTGTATCTAAAATATGTATTTGTTCTTTGTGTTCAGAATCAAATGAAATAATGCCCAGTAACAACCAGAATGGTGACGCCCCTGAAAAACTTACAAAACCTGCTTGCGGCAGAAGGGTCATGGAAACTGACGCAGAGAAAGGGTTAGTGCCTGCTGAGGATGCAAAGAATGAAGAGGTTTCAGCCTTTGTTCCAGTTAGAGGCCGTCGAGGCAAGAAAATTGAAGCTCCAGCAGACCCTGCTGTCAAACAGAGGCGAGGGAGAGCTGGAAAAGGCCAAAAAAGCACTGAAACGGTTAATGTTTTACCAGAAGAAACTCGACAGGAGGCTGAGTCTGTCCCTGAACAAGCTGATGATCCTACATGTGTTTCTGAACCTGCTGAAGAAATTCAGGAAAAATACAAAAGAGGGAAAAAAATTAAGGCCCCCGTTGACCCAGAGCCAAAGATCATTGTAGTTGAAAGTGAGCTGCCAGCTCAGTTAGAGCTATCTGTGCCCAATGAGAAACCAAAACGGGGGAGAAGAGCAAAGACACAAGAAGAACCTGCCCAACCAGAGGCAGAAAGTGCTGTAGAAGAAGCCAGCCCACCTGCTGTGGATGAGGCTGTTGACATGGAGCTCTCAGTACCCACTGAGAAACCCAAAAGAGGGAGAAAACTCAAGTCTGCAGCTGAACCTCTCCAAACTGAGACTGAAATCACAGAAGTGAAGAGTAAGCCTGTTGTTAAATCCCAGACAGAGAAGCCTAAAAGAGGGAGGAGAGCTAGACCTGCAGAGAGTATTCAGAGCACTGAAGTCTCACAGAATCCTATCCAGGAAAAAAGGGGGCGCTCTGCTAAACTGGAGGAAGGGCACAAATCAGTGCCTGAGCAACAGCCATCAAATGTTATATTTCCAGAACCTCCTAAGAAAATGCGGGGAATCAGGAAAGTAGAAGAACCAAGTGAGGAGCTCCAGATAAAAGAGACTGCGGAAAAGACTCCAGTCATTGCAGAGCCAGTCAGGCCTGAACCACCAGCTCCCAGATCTCGGCGAGGGGCTCCAAAACGAAAAGAGGCTGAAAATATCACTCCAGAAGAAGACACTGAAGAGGTGTCTGTGAGTAGTGCTACAAACAAACCCAAGAGGGGCAGAGCGAGCAAACAGGAGGCCAAAGGAGAGATCAAGGAATCAGAGGTAAATGCTCCTGAGCAGGCTTCTGAAGATGACACTGCTCAAGCTAAACCTACAAGAAGACGAGGCAGACTTGCAGCGCCTGCTGTCCCAGCTAAAAGGGCTCGCAGAGGGGCACTTGTTCCCTCTGAGGAGAGCCCTGCTCAGGCCACAGAGGAGATTTGTGAATCTGTAACTGTCGAGCCTGTAAAAAGGGGCAGAAGAGCAACTAAGATGCCAGCATATGCTCAAGGGTGTAAAAGCCAAGACAACTCTACTCTTGAACTCAGTAATGAAGTGGAAGACACAGGCAAATCTAAAAGATCTGTCAAGTGGAATTCAGATTTTCAAGTGATAGAAGTTACACCCTTGAAGACAATTCGGGGGAGAAAGACAAAATCTGCTCAAAAGAATGAGGCTGAAAATGTGCCACACAATGCCACAAATGCTGAAGAGAAGGATCTCTCGGAAAATGCCCAACCAGTGAAGAGAGCAAGGCGAGGGGTGAAGGCAGCTGTGGAGGAAGAGTCCACCAAGACCAATGTGGACAATACAAAAGCTGAGACGCAGCCCAAAACCAGAAGAGGTAGAGTGGCTAAGAAATGATTCCTTTTGTAAATGGTGCTAAACAGACTTTGTATCCAATTATTTTTATTTTGTTTTATATGCATTTTAGAACATTTAGTGTGTAAAAACAAAAGCACTGTTTTATTTTTTTCACTGAATACTGCAGGGAATCTTGTCTTAATATTTTGTATCAGGTTTAGTTGTGTCTAACCCATGGATCTTCTTGCAAGTGTTATATGATGAACAAAAAACAAACTTTATTAAATTTTTTACATGTAAGAATACTGTGTTTATCATTTGTTTAAACATGGACAGCTTTTTGCAATGTTGCAAGCTTACTTGGTTCACATATGGCAGCTAAAGTTTAAATGATATTTTGATCATTACTCATGCTGAAAATAAAGGTACAACAATGGTGACTGTATTTTTTTTTTTATATATATATATAAATAAACATTTTTAAACGCTTGCTTAATGCGTATTTAAGCATTAAATATTAAAAATGATCAAACTGCGTAAGCAAAGTTGCAATGCTGCAGTAGTGTTATTTTGGCACCGGAACTATTGTAGAGTCAAACGCCACACGGACTAGTTATGAGGAGGGACATTGTAGCAAACGCACAGCGGACGCGGGATGCAGTTTTGTCTGGCGCATGTGGAATAGTGCACGAATTTCTGCTACATTAGTTTTGTAATTTCTCTTCCCATGTCCATATCAATGGAGGCGGATATTAAAACGACACCTAAAGGCTTTCATTGCTCTTTGTGCAATGTCAGTATACCAAACCGTAAGTAAAACTTGCTAACTTTTCCTTAGCCACATCTCAAGTCTTCTCTGCATTGCTTGCTTCTAACCATAAGTTATTTAAACATGCTGATGAGCAGCGTTATTTCTTTTAGTTCTCTGACACAACGTGTTGACTTTCATTGTATTTTCTATCAAGTTGAGCGTCTTTAACTTGTATTATTGTAATCTTAAGGACATCAGCATAGACACATTTTCATATATACAGCTAACTTATTTCACCCTTTGCAAATGCACTACCTGTTTATCACACAGTTTATGCAAAACATTCAGAACTATATTACTCGTCCCCAGAGCCAAGCTTGGAGCAGCACGTGAAAGGGCGCAAACACCAGACGCTCAGCACTGTGAGGTCCACCAGGAGGTCTCAGGAGGAGCGCAGTGTGTTCGTCAGCGGTTTGAAGCCAGATATCTCCAACACTGACCTAGCCGAGTACTTCCATCGCTTTGGTCCTGTCGCAGATGTCATCATGGATAAAAACAAGGTTAGGCAGACCGTCTTAGATCCAAGATGCTGTTCTGAATTTAACAGCAGCACTGATCTGTTTGCTCTCATAGGGTGTGTATGCCATTGTCCAATTTGATGAGATTGATGGCATGAACACTGCTTTATCTTGTATTGAGCATCGACTGAAAGGCCTGAAGCTCCGTGTCAAACCCAGAGAGAAGAAGGAGTTTAAATTAATACCTAAAAAGAAAAATGACTTTCAGAACCTACAAGAAGTTTTTGACAGACTTAAGCCTGAACTGTGTCAGCTGGGGTCTGTAAGTGACTATTGTTTAAAATAAAATAATATCTCGCAATTGCTTTAATATCTGAATGCATATATCTTTTATATTTGTTTATTCTAGCCCTAACAAAACACTTAAACACTTAACCTAATCTTTTCCAGGTAAACGCACAGATACAGCACATGGTAGAGCGTTTTCAGCTTGGAGACAATGAAAAGAAAGCCAGAACCTTAGTAATCCAACTACTGCAAGAGGTCTTTGTTGAGTTCTTCCCAGGTATTCTCTCTCATGTATGCCTCAAGCTTTACATTTATACTTCTTCATTTACTAATGATCGTTTTACAGACAGCAAAATTATACCTTTTGGATCTTCTGTCAACACTTTTGGTATCCACTCGTGTGACTTGGACCTGTTTTTGGACTTGGAAAACACCAAGGTCTTCCAAGCTCATGCCAAAGCCAACTTGGAACAGGTCTGTTTGTTTTACAGACACATTTTTTTCTCAAATCTAATCACAACATTTTCAAGTTTAAATATTTTTTGTTACTGTTTAGGCCGGGGAGGGCATGTCAGATGATGGCCGTTCAGAAGACTCCATATTATCTGACATTGACCTATCCACAGCATCTCCTGCTGAAGTTTTGGACCTAGTGGCTGCCATCTTGAAGCGCTGTGTCCCCAGTGTGGACAAAGTTCATGTTGTCAGTACAGCCCGGCTTCCTGTGGTCAAATTTCACCACAAAGAGCTCAATCTGCAGGGAGACATCACCCTTAACAACAGGTCAGCTGACACTTTGAACCACTACAGTTCATTGTAAACAAATGGTGACCTGTGATTTTTCACTATAGGCTGGCAGTGAGAAACACACGCTTCCTTCAGCTGTGTTCTGGAGCAGAGGAGAGACTGAGGCAGCTGGTCTGCACTGTGCGACTGTGGGCCAAGCAGAAGCAGTTGGCTGGTATGTTCCACCCATGCATGTGCTCTTTCTCAAAGCCTAGGGATCTTGCCATAGAAGTGGGTCCTTCCTAAATCACTCCCTTCCATTCTGAGGTTGCTGTCCCGTCCTGGCCTCAACAAACTGCTAATGAAACAGCCTTCAGAGTGCATTATGGGTAAATTTGTATGAGCAAGGCAGTGAAACAAAAATATATCCTTGGTTGTTTACTAACATTTTAACAAATGGGATGACATATGTCCATGGAGGACATGAACTTGGATGATGTGGATGCCTAGCCACACACAGATCAAGGTAAGGCACGATGCCTAAGCTTTGGGAAACCACTGTGAACTGGGTAAGATGTTTGTGGTTTCATTTTTAGTCTGCAGATGTCAGTAAAACAACATGTGATTCTAACTGTATGGGAAGCTTGCTAATGAACATAATGATTTATTGAAATAATAAACTAAAAAGTGGAATTCTTTTTGCTCATGATCTCTCTGCAGTGTCTTCATCCTGTCCTCTCTCTGTAGGTAACCTGAGTGGAGCAGGCCCTCTGCTCAACAACTATGCTTTGACACTTTTGGTCATTTTCTACCTGCAGAACTGTGACCCTCCAGTTCTGCCCACAGTAGACCAGCTCAGACAAATGGCATGTAAGTGTTTCTATGATAGTCGGTCTGATTTATTCAAAAACAAGAGTTTTTTAAAGGACTTTATAGTATCTCTCTTACTGTTGATCACAAAGATTGATCATAGGCTCACTCTCACTCCAAAATATCAAACAGCCTTGATATCAGTCGCAGCTTGTCTTTGGTCTTAACATAGTTGTCAATTTAATTTTTGTCGCAGTCTCTACGACTCGCCATTTTCCCCACTAACAGAAATGTTTTATCGCAGATGGCAAAGTCACGCAGTGGGCACCCTGCTTTAGAGATTTAAGCCATGTTAGAATGTTGTTACCTCATCAGAAACATACCTGTTGTTGTGTTTTGTTTGTTTGTTTTGTGTCAACATTCAAAACTCTGTATGCTCTTTTATGATCATGGTCACATTTTTATATAGCACTTTTCTTCAAGGCACATTTACCCAGAAGTCACCCTGGGGGTGAGGTGGGTTATATGTTTTGCCCAAGATAGAATTATACACCAACTTGTGAGTCAGTGGATCCGACCACTCGACCAATGATTTAGGTTGAGGGCAGCATTCAAACCGCCAATGTTCAGATCAGAGGACAAACACTCTGAGCTACTGTCACCCCATGATATCTACCTTGTAGCTGTTTAATTGAAAACTACCACTTCATGACATTTTTACCTTTTGTTCAGTAGAGATTGGCACTTCCAGGGGCTGAAATCGTGAAATCGTCAAATTATTTTAGTGGAGGTGTATGGAGTTTTAAAACACATTTTGAGCACGTCTTGTATTGCCTCATGACATCATCATTTGGAATCATAAGGCTGTTTTCAGTTTGAGAGGAGAATTTGGCTTAAAGGTTCAGGATTTAGGTGTTACACACATGTGAATGAAACAAAACACAACTCTGGGTATGTTTTAGATGAGAAAACGACATCATAATCAGAAAATGGCATAATATGGGTTTGTTAATCTAACTTCTGTTTACCTGTTTTACACTTGCAGGTGAGGAGGAGGAGTGTGTGATTGAGGGTTGGGACTGTACTTTCCCCACCCAGGCCATTGCTGTGCCTGCAAGCAAAAACACTCAAGATCTTTGTTAGTGGCATTAATTTCCACTCCATGTATCTCATCATGTCTTAATTCTAATGACAATGCTAAACCTGTGTATTGTGTTCACAGGTGGCCTACTCACTGGCTTCTTCAGCTTCTATGCCAAGTTTGAATTTGCCACAAGTGTTATTTCCCTCAGATCTGGACAGTCAGTGCCAATTGAAACTTTTCAGAAAAAAGCAGATGAAGTCATGAAAGAGGATTCAACCACTAAGCCTCATCAGGGCAGCCCAAAAATTGGCCCTATGAATATCTTGGACCCTTTTGAGCTTTCCCACAATGTAGCTGGAAACCTAAATGACCGCACAGCCCGCAGCTTTCAGAAGGAGTGCCAAGAGGCGGAGAAGTACTGCCGCAGCTTGCAATACCAGAGCAAATCCAGCAAAGGGAAGTCATGGGGGCTGGTGCGCCTGCTCACCCCCCACGGTGAGGTGCAGCAGACCCGGGCTGAGCTCTTCACAATCAGTATTCCCTTCAAATCAGACGTGCTCCCAGAAGACCTCTGTAATCAACAGCATATAGCCAAGGATGCGTTCTCCTTACTGTGGTTTCAGCGAGTTTGTGCTGTAGTAGAGGGCATTTTCCAGAATGTTCTCAAGTGTCACCTTGTCTCTGCTCCTGAGGTATTTGACGCAGGTGAAGATATGGAGGCACAGAACTCGTCTTTGGATGACAGTGGTAACAGTGTAGAATCTCCTGTTGAGCTTGGTCCGAACATAGGAACCAAAAGGCCACTGTCATGTGACAGTGAAGACTCTGTGTCACCTCATGGCAAGAAACCAAGGTTGTCCAAAAGGGGGCGCACCACACTGTCTCCCTGGCTGTGGGAGCAGAGGCACATAGTATGGGCGGGGAGGAGGAAAGTGAGGCGAGAGCTGATCAAAGACTCTGAGGCTAAAGCTGAAGGGAGCTGTGTGGAGCTGGAGACACAGGTCACGTCTCACATCACTGAGAAAGAACCAGAGCTTAAAGAGGCACTGCAGTTCAAACTGCAGCCTCAGGTGGTGGGGGCGAAAGAGAGCACAAGCACCCTGCTGAAGTTCCTGCCTATTCATGATTCAGCTGGACTCTTTCAAGACTTCTTCCATTTTCTGGAAGTGTTTCTGCCCAAGATGGTAGAGACAATGCTTGTGAAAAGAGTAGATAACTAAATGTTTACATATTGTTGTCAATGTACACTTTTTTTGGTGGTATTTCTACTTCTTAATATGCACTATTGCAGGTGGACCATGTCCCTAAAATGATGTCAGAAGAGTATTTTTGTAGTCCTCACTATACGTGTTTGTGTTGAGAGATAAGGTTTAATATTGGTTTATTTGTATAACATTGAGGTCTGGAATGGCTTAAATTCTGTTTTATGCTTAAAAAGCCCATTTTATGTTTTTAGTATGTTTTGTTAACATAATGCTTCTCTGTGACATTTCTCTTTAAACTCTAGTGGTCATGTGACATGAAATGAATGAATTAGCAAAGTGTTTGTCAGACACTACCTATTCTCACGACTGATGAAGACCACCATCGACAGTTTTAAATAAAAGTCTTGGTAGTGCTTTGACAGCAGCAGACATGGCTTGGATTGTTTGCTTTCATTTGTTTACTTGTGTGTAATGCTTTTCATTAGGTCAGGTTTCCTTCTTGTGCGTGACTGGAGCAATGAGGGCCATTACTCGGCAGGCAGGCTGACTGCTTTATGAGACCGAGACAGGCCACAGCCCAGGGACCTTAGCTTTGATTAACATCATTCATCTCTGCACTTAAACGTCTCATAGTGTGTGGCCAGGGGGACCTAGGCAGGTTGGTGCTCAGTAAATGGTAATTTCAATATATGCAGTGAAAAGTTCAAATCAGATGCTGTATTGCCAAACCAAATGAAATTGAATAGATTAAAATTGAAAATCAGCTGAGAATACAAACCTCAGATGAAAAACGGCCATATCTTGCATTGGTTAAAATGATGTTTCACCTGTATCCTAATTTCTGGATAAATATCCAGTCATTCAATCAATTTTCACTCAGAATGTGTGAAACTACCAGATAAAATGTGGCCAAAGCAACACCATTTCTGACTATTTTCTAGCTTATCTTAAAGGTGCACAGTGTTGCTTAGTTTTTTTGTATTATTGTTGTTCATGTTTAATGAAGTCTCATGGGGAAATCCACACTTTTATTTGTGTCATTTATTATCAGTGTCACAGTGCTGGGGCACCTGAGCTAGTGCAAGCATAATTAGATATTGAACATCCAATCCATGGGTTTCAGAATGATGACAAATTAGGACAGTTGCTACAGCCATTGACAATTTTAAACCATTTAAATATATTTAACATAATTTGAATGGTAAAATGTCCTCAAAATGTTGCCTGTAAGGAAACTGAAACCCATGAAATCTTTTTTTTTTTTTTTTATAAACTCTTTTAGTCAAGGGTTTCTTTGTGACCTTACCTGAAACACATAAAAGGAAATATTTTTTACAGCGGACCTCTAACTTTACAAGTGAAAATGTTATTGAAGCTGATCTGTTACATATTCACAACCACCAGTCATGAAAATCATTCATTACAAAATAGTACAAAAATTACAAATTGGGCATTGGCTGATTTCTTTGTGTTTTTGAAAATGGGAAAATGTACTGATACAGCAGTCTTTAGATGAGTCATATATGGAAGAGTACATAGCTGAGATTTGCTGTATTTAGTCATAATATTTTTGTTTATTTCATTAATGAACCCATATGAGGATATGTATGCTTCATTTGAGCATTGATTATGTCTGAGAATTACATTGACCTACGGCACAAACCTCTGACTCACTACTGAGTAAGTCATCACTGCTCTACCAGGTGACTCGTAAAGCAGCACACTGGCTCAAGACTGATTCTAATCATCTCATACTCCCAAAACCAATCATCTACTATGCTCTGTGGAACCTAGACCTTTTTCAAGTCGAGACAAATGTGAGATTTTTAAAATATGCCTCATTTAGTTCTGTACTTCAGGAGTAGGTTTGGAAGCACAAACCTTTTGAGAGCACAATAAAAGGTTAATACAAAAACTACAAAATCTAATACAGTGTTATGAATAATTGTTGTAGTATTCCCTGTCCAGCAGAAGCTTGCGGATGACATGTGAGTGATGGCTCAGAGCTGTCGGTCTCTGGAGCTCTTGTGATGGTTGTGTGTTCAGGTGAATGGGCGCTCAGTGGTAGTGTGTGCTCATCAGAAGCACATTATGAGCTGCTTGCTGGTGCTCTGTGCAAACAGGTCTGGCCTTCTCCAAAGCACTCTGCTCATATTAGTGCCCCCCACTCTGCAGATAAGACCAAATAAAAGGCCCCATCATTTCCCCCTCACAGGAGCCCCTCAGACTCTTTGTCCACGTGTACCTTTGCTTTGTTCCCGCTTCAGCCACATGTGTTATGCAAATTGAAATTGAAGGTCTTAAGTGAAGATGGGGCTTTTAAAACTAGATTTGAAATGTACAGTTGATTTTGTTATAGAAAAAAATGTATAGAAAACCAGACTGCATTCTTAAGTTCGTAAAACTGATAGATTCACAATATCGGTCACTGATTTACAAAGGTTACATCATTGCTTCTAACACAGAGATGCAGAGAACTGGAGACTTGAGGCCTGACCCTGCTGGACCTCCACATGACATGAACTCTTCCTAATGTTGGCTAATTTTTGTGCTTTGTACTTAGGCTGAACTTGATTAGCATTTAATGCACTTGGACTTGTGTTTAGCTTAAGACGACTTGCTTGGATTTTTTGGCCCTAATGACCCAAAGACTTGATTCTGACTGAAATGGACCTGCAACAATCTGATCTCGAGTTGTGGGCTTAATGCTCCTCATATTGATTCTACTGTATCAGATTGTGCGCTCAGAGCTCTGGCCCTATTTAGGAGTACATTATCTGAAGTCTACTGGACTGTGACGCCTCTGTGGCCCCCTCCTTTATCCTCAGTGTTTGCCTTCTAAATGCTGCTCCTTACTAATGAGTTGATCTTGTGCATGTTGTTGTTTCTTGTCATTGACTTTTATGGCCCGTAAGAGGTTGATTACTGAAGAAGAGCTAACAAAATGTGCAGGAGAGCCACTGTTAGCTCTGGAAAAGTACGATTACAAAAGAAAGTGTCAGTATTGAATGTATGGGACCTTATCATTCCATTATTAAATCACTGGAGTCACTGTTTTCCAGTCTAAAATGCATTAGCATTTCATTCTACAGTTTAGCAAATGGGGATATAAGTGGCCCTGACAAATGTGGTGGAAGAGTCACTGTTTGAATTATGGCACAATAATTGCCCCTGGATGGTTTGTACAATCAATGAGTAATATTCTGGTCCTTATGAAGTGGTCACGTTAACAGGGTTTTATTAGCAACAGCAGCAGCAGCAGAGCGTCTCTGCTGCCCGTCAGTCCGATTTATGCCCAAATCAAGTGTGTTCTAGACATGAGCCCAGAGACTGACAAACTGAACTCGGAGCAAAAGCCGTTGTTTTATGGCTCCTTAAACAGACTGTGTGGGGGGGGGGGTTCTGCAGGGAGGAGGGCAACAGCTGGACACCTGTATACTCCCAGGATGGCACTGAAAATACTAACCAGGCTCTAAAAAAAGTAACTGTAAATTGTAGGTCACCGTCAAAAGTAGGTCAGTGTAGAACATGAACAAAGATTTTTTTAAAAATTTGTCCGCTATAATTTTGTACAATATTTATTTTATATCTGTTCCATAAAAAAGGTGATGTTCAGTAGTTTGGTTTATCAAAAATTTGTGTGGCTTGGTTTGTTGGGTGTCGAAAATCAGATACCAATTGACTCTAAAACAAGTACTGAAACTAAATACTAATTTAAGCAAGTATCGATACTGAACAGTTTCATCTTGACTTTTGTCAGAGCTAGTCTAACACCATATGGTATAATGAACAAATACAATTATTCTGTGTCGAAAGTATTGTCTAAAAATCAATGAGTAAAAAAACAAAAAAAAAAAACAATAAAATTATCATTTGGGTTTGCATATCAAAATCTATATCAAGTATCAAGTTTATTTTTTAGTATCAATATCAATAGTTTCAATAGTTTGAAATTTTAGTATTGTGACAACGCAACTTTGAGAAAAACTTGAATCAAACTAAAATCGCACTAGATTCCACTCCCAAACCTAATGCTTAAATTCTAAATGCCCTACAGACATACAGTATGTCAGACAGATTTTGTCTCTCTAATGTGCAGATTTTTGCTGTGATCTTTTCAAGTCATACTTTAACACGATCAACAAATGTTGATTCCATATTGATCATAGCCCATAAAACACACACTTAAGAGCTCTTTGGAAGATAAGAAAATGTACATGCAGGCAGGGAGAGCGCAGTGCACAGCAGACCATGAAGATAGTGCAGCTCCTGTTTATTTGCTGATATGTCACCCATTTCCATCAGTCCCTGACATCTCACTGTGGACAGGGGCTGAGGGCATGGCTGATCACTTGTCACTTTGCTTCATAAATGTTCATAAGGACTACAACGATTAATTGAAATAATCCTGATTAGTTGACAATTAAAATACTACTATTTTGATAATCATGATCAAAACATGCCAAAAAAAAATGTTCTAAGACAAGAGCATTAATAAATCAAAATGACAAAAAGGATAGTTCGATTTTTATCAATAACACACTTTACTCATGAATATTCTATATATCTAAAAGACTTCACTCACCATATTTTAATCTTTATTTGGTCAAAAATATATATAAAAAAAATCTCAATGTACAATAGAAATGATTATTTGACAAGTTTACTAAAAATAACTGGTGACTGACTAGTGGACTACTAAAACAATCATTAGTTGCAGGCCTAATGCTAAGAATGCAAAAATTGCTCTAATGAATTTCCCTTCACTGAAATATGTAGTGTTTCAGGGTGCATATAAAACACAGTATTGCTATTGATTAGTGCCATTCGTGGCTTATGACCTCTAACTCATGTTAAAATAAACCCTATTGACTGGACTAAATAATGCATGCTGTAGTAATGAATGAGCCGAGGTTAAGGGTGAGATACTATTATAAAGAAAATTGCTTAGTTTGATGTCACCCCGTAGGCCTACTTGTCTATCAGAATAAAACAACCAAAAAAAAAGCAACATGCAAGCAGATTAGTAATGATTTTATGTTAATTATAACGTGACCAGTAGGCTAAATATGATTAACTGATAAATATTTGTCATTGTATTATTATAGTAGAGAGCTGTGGCGAGCCATGATGGTTGGCAGGATAAACTTGTTTCCTTGGCTAATTTTACACTCTGTCCAAGGGTACACCAAGGGCATTTGTGTGCAAATGCATGGGGCCTCAGCACATTTTTGTTAGTGAATTTGGTGAGTTTTCATTAACTAAGTTGTAAACTTGGGCACACTTCTTTGGAAAGAAAGGCCTAGTAAACCAAGTGCGCACAGAGGCTTAAGCATTAAGATTAGCGGGCTGTGGCTAATGTCTTCCTCTGCCTGGTGAGATTTTCAGCACATAAAACGAAGGGGTGCTTTATGGCTGCTCTTTTATCAGGTCTTACGGACGTGATAGGCTGTTGGTGGGGATTACTTAATAATTCATAAATGTATATTACTGTATTTTAATCATATCCATTAAATACTTACCGTCATGTTTGGAGACGTGTGCGTAAAAGCAATGCGCAAGCAAAGAGTCATAAAGTAAAAGTACGCGGTCACTGGGGGAGATAGATAGTAGTGAGTGACCTCTCCTAAAACGCGAGGGAAACGCGAGGGGAGGGGTTTGGAGTGAGCGCACATCAGGTATTCCTCCAACACTATATAATGCTGGAGTGCGAAAAGAGAAAGACAAGCAACATCCTCAAGACACAAAGGACAAGTCAAATGTAAGTTAATTTCTTTGCTTAGACTTTGTTTCATCCAGGGGCGTCCAAGTAGTCCCTCTTGTTTCTTCCAGATGGCCACCATGCTGAGATCGTGGACGATGCTTGCAGCTCTGGTCGTGTGTCTGCTGCTGTGTTGGAGCAGCTTTTCAGACGCGTACCCCGCTAAACCCGTGATGCCGAACAATAACGCACCTCCCGAGGAATGGGCCAAGTACCACGCAGCCGTCAGACACTATGTGAACCTCATCACCAGACAGAGGTCAGTCTCAGGGCGGCCCGCAACTTTCAAAACTTTATGCATCTATTTTTTATTGTGTGCGTATTTCTATTCCATCCCATTCCGTCACCATCTGTCATTGAAAAAGTGCTTTAAAATGGACCGTTTTCTTCCCCTTTCTTCCTTGCTTCTTTTTTATGTAAAAATAAATAAATAAATAAAATACAAGAAGAAAAAAATAGGGAAAAAAGTCCTGGTTAAACAACTGCGGGCTAGCTAATTAAACCAAAGTAATCTCTGTCATAAATATTTAACTCTATCTTCACTCATGTGCTTTGATAAGTGTTAAAATGCATTGCCAAGCTGCCAGTCTCACCCAAGCAGCTGCAATTCAATCGCACTGTTACCTATTGAGTGGCTGCTGTTGTGGAGCACAGCGGCTTTTCGCATGAATAACAAACTCGCGTGTGCGCTGCTTGAGCGCTGAGCTGTGTTCCTGTGTCACAGGTACGGGAAGAGGTCTACTCCAGAAGAGATGGCATGGCTGCTTTTTGGAGCCGACTCTAACCAAGACTCTGAACCACGGTGAGAGACCAGAACTGGTCTTGAATACTCTGTGAAATCCAATGATGCGGTTCTGTACCTTCACTCTGGTTTCAAAACATTTGTTCTTCGTCATCTTTAAACTTTATTTGACTTTGAACTTTTAACTCATTATAGCCTAATCTATAATATTATCATTAAATGTTTGTAATAGCACTCCCCAATCTCTCAAATAAATTGATGAACTGCTTCTTGTTGGCTGGAGTGTCTGCATTGATGTTTATGCCACTTGCTGAGAGCTGTGTCTTTATACCCCATTTCTGCTGAGTATTGATTTGCATTTGATTTCACTCTGGGCTTGGACATCTACTGGTTCTTCAGGCCAAGAAATGTAATGGGCAAGAGCACATTGCCATCTCCATTTTATGCAGCTGTCAATGAATTAATTAGTCTTTTCTTTGTCCATTGGCAGGCCGGAATACAGCGATCAGTGGTAAATCACTTCTAATGGATGAAAAAAAAAGGGATCTCCAAAGACAACCTGCACTGGACTATGTAACTCTTACCCTAATTATTGAATATGCATGCAGTCCCAGCCCCCTCTCTCTCTCTCCCTGTGTGTGTAAAACTGCCTTTGGCCAAAAATGTAAATAATTTATATTAAAAGTGATTAAACTAGAACTATTTAATTTCAATACTTATGTCAATCTAATAAAGTGTTCAAAAATATTTTACCAGTGATTTTTATAAAAGTGTCCTCATTATTTTATAAAACTATATATGCACATACGCTTGTGAGCACGAGATGTCGCTGTTGCTCTGTTATCGTGCGTAAATGTCTCAGAGCTGCTACATCGACGGTCCTCAACTTCACACAAGGGTACCGCGCAGAAGGGCATTCATCATCGGCACAGCACTCGGATGTCTGGCTTTAGGTCCATGGAGGTGAATGTGGGAGCAGGCGCGCCGTTTTAACCCAGGTCTCTCGGTTTCTCCGTACGCAGTTCCCGCGGGCTTCTCGAAGCGTTAATGTGCTGAAAGTGTCTGCATAGATTAAACAAGACCTGCCACAACTCGAGTCAGAGGAGGTACATCCCCGTGGCCGCATCTTACACCGAGGTGGACAAGAGCAGGTGAGCGTTTTGAACTCCAGAAAAAGACTTTAGACATGCTAACAATGTGCTTGTAATAATCACCGCGTTCAAGCAAAGCGTCTCCAAACGCGGAGTCCACCTTCGCCCTTCAGGTGGAGTTTGAGCCATCTAGCGTGTTAAAAGAGCAGACGTGTGGCATATGTCCGCTGACATGTATGAGTGTCAACATAAACCTGTTTTACGTTACTGCGCGTGTTTACATACATATTAGCGATTCAATTAGAAGCCACACATTGTTTTAATCTTGCCTTAATTTGGCCTAGCATAGCTATTTCGATGGAGAGGCGAATACATACGCTGGTCAGTGCCTTTCCAGTATTTATATTAGAGTTTATAAATTAGGCAATCAAAAAATGATAATGAAAACAAAGACGAACGTCATGCACCTGTTCACAGCCACTGCGCATGCTCAGAGCGAGCGGTGCGCCCACAGATGTGAGAGGCGTGCTGCCCATATGCCGACAGCGGGCACAGGTGCTGACCATGGTGCTGATGGGTTTGATAGGGCAGGCACCACGTTTTATGTCTGTTTAACCAGAGCTCTGTGGAGATGTACCATTTGCACACACAAGATCATAGTCAATTCTAACTTTCTAAAGAAATGTGTGCAGAATGAACTTCCCCTTTAACTAGTCTAAGCTACTGTAAAACTGAAAGAGCCCTTTTGAACAGCAAACTTCTCATCGCACATTTTTATACTAAGAGCTTGGGGCTAGATCTTTACAGCAGTGTTCAAATAAAATGATACACTACATTACTTTAAAAAACCACAGTGACCGTACATTCGAAATACATCAGCAGCACGTGCTCAGGGCTTATCTGACTGCAGTGCCCATATCCACTGTAACCAAGGTGCTGGGTGGTGCTCTGGTGCTTTAATTCCTGTTGGCTTGATAAAGCAATACACGCCCCTCGCTTCGTTATTGGTGATGTACTGTACGTTTTGCGCTCATTGACATAAGTTTTAAATGTTATTTCCATGTTTTATATATATACCCCTGGAGTATTTGACCCAGGAGATATTGTGCCATAGTGAAACATGACATTGATGCGTCTCTCATTTCTGTCATAGCAGCGTTTCTGTGTGAAAAGGACACAGAGGAGCAGAGCCTTTAATGAGACCCCTCCTCCACAGTGATTGCAGTCTCCTCTCACCGAGTGTCTCTCAGCGCCCTGCCTCCGTCCTTTAGCCTCTTGGTGGTTCGTTGCTTGACATTTAATTTTAATTACTATAATTATAGTACATGTTGGCTGAAGGGAACAGAGGGTCAGGATCACCAGGGCCATCAGGAATTATTACACGGCTTAAGCTGAGGAGATATTGTGTGGTAGGTGTTACTTTACCTGCTACATTTCTTTATTTGTAGAGACACTGCCATAGTAGTACCTGAAAATACATTAGCATTTACAAGTAGTACAAAGGACTTGGTGTATCTAAAAGTCCTGCTTTAAATTTGTGGTTTATCCTGGTTGTGTTAGACTTGGGTTTGTAATAATTAAGTTTGGTGCTTTGCCAGCTCAGATTAATAATAATAATAATAATAATGATGCATTAGTCATATTTAGTGCTTTTTCAGACACTCAAATGTTGCTTTACAACTTGGAGCATTCACTGCATACTTGTACTTGTTAAGGTATTGCCACTGTAGACACAGCTGCACTGAGACAGACTGACAGAAGCAAACCTGCCAGTCTGTGCCACTTGCATCTCCAGTTACTCACACACCATATTTATACCTAGGTCTGACACAATAGCACATTTTGAAGTGTGATATATTGCTGAAATAAATATAGATGATAAACTGTTATATTCAAACTAATTTATGCCACTGACATCAAAAATCTTAAAAGCAGATTTATACCACAAAAACAATTCTAAACCTACAGTATTGTTAAAAAAATATGAGCTACAATTGAAAAATTAGAGAACGAAACTCTTTAGTTCTTAGTTTTGCATCTGTAACGAGTAATTCAATTCTACATATATAAACCAAAGTAGTACAAAGATAATGTACACATAATAAATATTTACTCACAAAAATATTGTTTCAACTAACACAGATTGAATGATAAGTCGATATAGTAATTATCATGACAGGCCATTTGGGTGGCAAGTGTCTTGCCTACAGACACAATTACAGTATGCAGTAGAGTGCTGCTGCCCCTATCTGGCACCTGGTATTTCCACTGTTCTCTTTTCCAGTATGAACTAGGCTTAACCCTGCTTAGCTTCCAAGATCAGATGAGATTGGGCATCAACAACGGTGTATGTCTGTGGTCTTTATTTTAGGAAGTGCCCCCAGGACTTAAAACAAACAAGATTGTGAGGTGGTACTTATAAAACTCTTGAGAAAAACTGCTTTACACGGAGCCATGCATTTATTTTTAGTAACCATCTCTGTATTCTCCAATGGTCCATATTAAATCTGGCTTTTCCTTTGCCATAAAAATGTATAGCAGTAAAGTGTTCCACCCTCTGATAAAACAAAAGTGCCTCCCTACACACACACCTGTAGTCTCTTAATATGCAGCAGGGAGGAGACGCACCTTTGATTTTGGGCGCACTGGGCCGTGACACCGGCAGACTGGCTTTGAACAGGGCTCCAATCTGTGCTCTCCTTCAAAAGACCTCAGTGTGTTGTGATTTGTGCATTCATTTGTACAGACTTGAGTTGTTTGTATGGACCCTGAAGGCAAGATAAAATTAAGAGCTTTGATTCACTCTCTGACAAAGTTTCACAATGGAAGGAAGTGCTTTTTGTATGGTATTAAGAAGAAACAATCAAAGTTTTGTAAGGGAACATTGTCTGCCAATAATTTTTCTGTATTGTCTGTGTCCGCTGTGGGACGTAAAAATGAATTTACCAACCTCATTCAATGGTGTTTTACAGATTCTGTGCAAATTGACCTCTGTTCTGAATTCAACTCAGAGCTTTTACAAATCCAATTATTTTTTTGACAAGACAGAACATTAATGTTTGAATAAAAATGAACTTTCTTGACCTTGAGTGCCACAGTATGATTTCTTAGTCTCTGGTGGAGGACTTGGTGTTGGTTCAGATCAGATGGAGCATGTTTTCTGCTCATTTTAGTCACAGTTTTAGTGTTGGCGGCATTTCCAAACCCTAGGTTTTTATTTGTCGATCCATTGATTGATTTCCTGAGTCCAGCTATGCCAATTTTTCAAACTGTGTTATAAAACAATCACTCTCCAAAAGCACTGATATTTGCTGACACCATAGCTCCAACAATTGAAAGCCCCATATTTAGCTCCGACTTATTATTATTTTACGCATTTTCCCTTGTTGCCATGGTGAAGCGGCTGGGAACAAGGCTGCTCACGCGGTTGTCTTGGATACAACAGTTTTCCCTTGTAAAGTAATGAGAGGTGCTGAACCTGTGGGAGCGTAGGGTTATTTTTAGGCCTGACGCCAGCCCGCATGTGTGGATTAAGACTTGTTTGGTCACTGGTGCATGTCTGTGTGTGTGTGTGTCTGTGTCTGCATGTGTGTGTGTGTGTCCACTCCTCAGCCTCTAAAGCACTCTCAGTGTGGGAAGAGCTCCAGGCGTTTTAACACTGCTTCAGTGCCGGCACCTGGACCACCGCTTGTGTCACAGCTCAGGGTCCAGGAGGCGCTCAAAGATTGGCTCCACAAATAGACCTTTTCTCCATGCGCCCTCCTCTCACTCGCAGTGTTTACTGTCGTCTTATCACCACCTTCAAGGACAACAGCACTTCCTTTAGCACTGTTGGGGATGCCTGAACCAGACCCATGTGTGCTAACACCATTTGGCACAGAACAGGGCTTAAAGTATGGTTAAAGGTTAGCCACTTTCAGAGCACGAAGAGGAAAGAAAGATCAATTCAAGGCAAATAAGTCAAAGTCCTCCGTGAAGAACATTAGAATTATAAGCTATTCTAATGGAGAAAATTTAGTCCCGGAGCTCAGTCCTGATCACCCCCCAGACTACAAATCCATGTTTTGTGCCCCTGTTATTCGGCAAAGCAACAATTATCCACTCTAGTTAGATTGTAAAAGTGGAACTAAACACTAAATCAGTGTTTCTTTTGCTTCTAAATTGTATACATGGTGTTGTAATTTGGTAAATTTTAGTTTCAAGTGCTATGTGATCTTATACTAAACTGGCAGGTTTTTATGATCACAAACACCTGGATGCCGGGTCGGAGTTTGAAGTGTAGGTGCCTGTCAGACCAATCCTGCTGTTCCTTAGAGCTCCAGACCCCACCCCTCCTCACTGTCCCCTTTAGACCTCCAAACCCCGCCATTCCTCCCCCCTCTTTTTCCCTCTTTAGACCGCCGAATCCCGTCACTCCTCCTCCC